CCCCCACCCGGTTCGTATCTTTTTCTGTCATTTCAATGTTTCGCCTCGTCAACACACGGTATTAATCTCCTCCGGCTTTGTCTCGGGAACGTTGAATCTTTTTGCCGCCCGTAAAGCGAAAGTTCTCTACGAAGAGGGAAAACGAAGACCACCCCCTGTCTGTCTGTCTCTCTCTTTTCTTGCGAGAACTACGGAAATTATTAAATAGCTCGAGTTTCTTTTTCGTTACCAGTTCTTTCGTTTCCGTGATGTCAAAATAAGAAAAAAAAAGCGAAAGAGAGAGGGAGAAGGAAAATGTTCGAGTAACAATTAGCAGTTCGTTTTCCAACGTGAAATTTCGAAAAGTTCCTTGGGATTCCAGGATTCTGTTCCGGTTCAGTTCTCCGTTCTCTGATCTCGACGGTGTAATTCCTGTAGGAGGTGGGAGGCTTTCGAAAGTAGGCCGTCGTGAAATAAGCGGAAGACTTTTCTCGCCGGGAAAGCAGAAGAGAGGCCGTCCAGCGCACTTCAACCCTTTCCTCATCTCTTCCTCGTGCTCTCTTCTCCGCCGTATTCCTTCGCCTTTCCTTTGATTTCCTCCGTTTCCTCCCGACGCCGTTGATCAACCTTCTCGACACCGATCTGCATGCGTCATCGTCGAATCTGCATGTCTTCGACTGCACCCTCGTTAAATCTTCGCGCATGCGGGACGCCGTATTTTAATACGTCGAGCAGAATATCGCTTCGCCGAAGGAAATTCCTTTCGATCGGCTTCCGACTAGATTTTCCACCTATTGAATAATAATAAATGCGGTGAAACGCGGGTAACTGGAAAATCTGATTGACCTCCCGCGTGATCAGCACAAATTGGCGCGCGATGCAAGGTAGAAGCGACTTATTATTCGTGTGAATTAAACCGCGAAGAATTACATTAGCATAAAACGGTTATCAGTTGTACAATACCCAGCGGAAGCGCGCGACGATAGGGGGAACTTTTCCAATCTCGTGCGGCTCGTAATTGAAACGTAATTTAATAAAACTCGAAATTTTTCACGTCGAAGGTTGCGAAATAACCTTTCCGTCGATAATTATGCGGAGAATCCGAGCGATATTATCTGAATCTGAATTGGATTTATCCGGTTTCTCGGCATTTTGCATATAACATACGCGGCGCTGCGAAATATATTTTGCACAACGGAACTCGCACAACGGGATTATGTTCGTTACGGTAACACGCGAGAGTGAATTTATTATCGCAGATATTTATTAATGCTCCCCCCCGGTTTATTTGGATGCCGCTGTATTTTTAACGGAGAAAAAAAGAGCGCCGTCGAAGCGTTTCTTTTGGCAGACGTTCCCGCCGTGGCGATTCACGGCCCGTGTGATATACTTTTCCAAATCCTTGCCAAACAACTTCCATTTATCATGCGGCGATGGCGACAATTTTTTTCGGGACGTCTTTGAAATTATGGCCCTCGGCATTCCTCCCACGTAGATTGGACCGGCACGAAAATCGATATTTACTTGGAAACTTTTCAAGCGCCGGTTACACAAAAACTGAGCAACACCGACCGTAATATTACGGCCGTTGTGGAGGATAGAAAACTAGGGGATAGAGCCGACGATCGTGGTCATATTGCGCTGCTGAAACTGGATTTGCACTGTTCGTATGTAATTAATACAATTGGGTTTCTAAATTGAGAAAGGAGGACGCCAACATACTCCCCTCCCACTTCCTTCCCCCCGTCTATGTATGACGCGTAAATAAGGTCGCTAATATCGGTGCCGGGCTAATTCTGCGAATGCTTTAGTCAAGATTGAATCGGAACGACAACGACGACGACGACGATGGTATTGGATTACCACATAGCCGCTCGTGGAATACGTCTGCTTGATTAAGATTTGTTTGCACTGGTCAACGGACGGGTCATTTTTACGATCGTCCGTGCGTCGCAATTCTCGAGGCGCCAGCGATTACCGGGCCGCTTATCCTTCTATAAACGTCTTCCCTATAAATTACGATGTTTCCATCTGCCTAAACAACTCCGAACTGTGTACGTTTCGCCGGTCAGTGGAAACGCGCAGCATCATCCTACTCCAGTCCATCCAGTAACGGCGCGTCCACGTTTAGACCGTACGTTGCATTATCAGTCAGGATATATATTCGGAAAAGTGGCGCCGATATCCGGGATAACCGGTTTAGCAATTTATGCTCGGGTGCTTTCGAGTAGATTTCGAGTTCGACGAGCGCGAAGAGAATTTGGGAAAAATAAGAGTCGAAATCTGCCGAGACGCGCAGTCGTCGCGAAGATAAATAATAAGTGAGTATTATTCGGGTGTTAACGCGAACCTTTTGCTTTCGAGGATTCAAGTATTACTCCGGATGGCACTCGAGTACCCGATTAGTTGGCAAATTTGAGTACAGGCTAGATTCTCGGGCACGAGAAACTACTTGATTTGTACTAACAGAGCTACTTCGAAGTTGTCAAGCCTGTCAGAGTTACGGGGCTAAGTAGCTTATAACAACTATAACTGACAAATTAACCAGTCGGTTAACCTGGGGACCACTTAATAATGGAGTTGTCAAGCCGAAATTTACCGAGAGCGAAATTAGTGTGTTTACCCGAATCGCCGTCCGGATGCGTCTCTGAGTGCTGTTTTATTAGCGAAAATTCATACGTCGAGGAATGGCTGTAATTACATAACGAGATGCGGGAATTCGCGAAAAATCGCGGAAATTCACGGTGATTCTTCTCACTGGGAAAACTGTACCGAAGCACTCCGGGTTATTATAATAACGCGAATGATAGGACGTGGAAAGAAGGGTGTCATTTATATTCGAATTGAATTTGAATAAAATTCATGAAGATTGACGGTGAGCTTTTTCCGAAGGAAAACGGCGCTGATACGGCGTTGAAGCGATGCGATTTACTTTTCACGTCGATGACGCCGTCTCACCTGTGAGCAACATTGCTGAACGCGAACGAAATTTTTAGCCTGTCGTTCGTCCCGTCAGGACAGCCAGTCCGTCTCAAGGCATTTTGGGCCACCCCTGAGAAGACTCAACGTGAAACTTTGCGAACTTCCGCGTCCCAATTACGACCAACTCATTTAGTAACGTATTCATGCAATAATTATCGTAAAATCGTCGAAGGATTGGAGCTACACGTGCATTAACCTGTCTGAAAAGCCGTCATATTAGAAACTTACGGTCTCATTTGCGCGCGCGATATAAATGAGCTAATCTAAATTCTCCGGTTGAACTTTACGAACTATTGGCCTGTGCGCTATTTATTTGCTAGAAGTTCGAAGAGCTAGAAGAGCGAGAAGTACTGAGAGATGAGATGGTTGCAAATGAGATGGACGAAATGCGCTCATGTCAACGTGTATTCAGCTGCTGGAGCGCAAACCGAGCGGTTACTGTTGGATCAACTCTCTAACACGTGCAGATCCCAAATAGTCGTTATAATCTTCTCTCAATTATATAAACATAGCTCGTCGAATAGTCACAGAGCCGGCACATTTTCTTTGCACTCTCTCACGGTATCAGCGATGATAATAGGATAGGACAAATGAAAGATGGCAATCGCGAGCAAAGTGAAGGATTGTAAGGACTTGTGTATTGTGCCGACCGATTCATTGGTCGCTGAATAACGTGAATAAGCCTCAGAAGGAGAAATTCTCGGAAAGTCCGCAGCTATTGTTCCCGCTCTCCCTTGATACTCGATCGCGGAACGAAGCAGATTTAGCTGCAGGGTGGTGTAGTCCAGTAAAGCAATTAACTCTTGAGCGAAACTTAGGCGGAAGCCCGGATCGGATGTCGAAGAAGTCGAAGATCAGGGACTCGTACATGTCGTTCTTGCCGATTGTCATCTTTAAACCGCGGAATTCGCGTAGTACGGTAAGCCACGTGGACGAAATCGGGGTTATCTCTCGCGGATATCGATCCATATCCGCGCCATTCATCGTCTTTGAGCCGCGAATCGTATCATCTGTCTTTCCTCCCCTATCGTGGGTAAAGTCGAACTAAAAAGTATCAAAGTTCACCGTTGTCTTCGCTTGTCTAATGTATTAATAACGCTTTAATGGCGTCTATAACGTCAATAATACGTCATTAAAACGTCTTTAGACGTCATCCTTGTTATTTGGGATCTTGCTTGCGGTGTACACACATGTTCTTTAATGGCATGTAATAGCGATCGTTTGTAACACCTAGTTAAGTAAACTTTATACCAAGTGTTACCGGGGGCACTAGGGAATATATATAACAGCTTTGTAGAGTCGAGTATAAATTCGGACTAAGTTAATTATCGGATCCTAGAGTTCAGCTCATTTAAGCCCTCACGGCGCACAGAGCGATTTCTTCGCTGTTCCGATCAAAGAGAGCTTATTTAACGATGACACGTCGTCGCCCCGATATCAAGGAATAGTTAATTGAATTTCCGTCCAGCTGTCAATCCCCGTGTGACGAGCTAGTTAAGGTTTGTTTGTTCCACGCGACCTGTCACAATTCTCGCAATGAGAGTTCTGCGAAAAAATACCTCCCATACATTGCATAAACAACGTCCGTGTAAACAGATCGAACAGGGCAAGTCGAAGGGTTAGGAGTAAACACGTGGCGTTAATATTGTACCCCGTCAACGAGACTATTTGGCAACGGAATGGAGACCTTACATTCGTTTTATCTCTGCGTAAGGAACCTTCACCTACAATGAAGTGTGGAGAACAGCAAGTTGAAGCAAAGTTGAAGAGTGATATAATACTGGGCAATATGGGAATATTGTAGGGAAATAAACAGCTGTAATTTTTTTTATTTAGATTAATACAAATTTCCACTTTTACTTTTACTTTGATAGTTTCGGATTGATGAAAAACAAAAACACGAAGAAGATGAATACCGTGCTGAAATGATAAAACTAATTTTCAAATAATACAACAAGCCCTTCCGAGGAAAATGTCGGCGTCACTATGGCACAGCATCGGTAAAATCCGATTCTGTTTGTCAATTTTCCAACAGATAAATAAATCAATTGTCTGTTTCCAGGAGTCACATTTCAAGTTCAAATAATGAAGCATGCAGAACTGCGGCAAGTTACAGAAAGAGAGAGAGAGAGAGAGAGAGAGAGAGAAAGAAGCAAAAGAGAAATCTCTTACTTCTCCAACAAACTCTATAGCTTCTCGCATTTCCTACGGGCATTCTCAGACCTTCTACCTGTGCACAGAAAATTCCAGTTTTTTATTATACAGGAACAAGAGAATTTTACTACTTTTTCATCACGGTGTGCAAAGTACCTTCGCGGGGGGG